GACCTAGGGATTTATTAGCATTCATTCCAAACATTGCACTTTTTATTTCAGCCTTAGTGAACTTGTCTTCAAGAGATGACAGATTATTCTCTTGTTCAGGATATAGAGTGGACCAATCAATGAAAAATTGATTCTTCTTACTCTGACCAAATAAATCAGAATAATATTGATAGAAGGCCTTAGAGACATCATTTGCCCCTACAAGATTTGTATCCTTAAAGATAATTGAAGCTATGAAATTTGCTTTCCTGTGAAAAGATGATGTTTTATGAAAAAAAGATGTATTAACATCACCCTCTTTTAACCATTGAACACGAGATCTTTGGTGCCAGTATGTTTCCTCCTCTTTGATGATGGTTGCATAAGAATTCTGAAGAGAGTTTTTGTCATTTAATTCCAAATCTGAGAGAGGTCTTTGTTCTTCCAATAAGTCCAAAGCATTAAGTTTAGATAAAACTTCTGTTTTTCTAGTAGATAAACAACCAAGGACATTTTTTTTCCACCACTTTATCCTTCTCTTCAGGAGCTTTAATTCCATAATGAAAATGTCAACCGGGTTACATTGGACTTGAAAAGAAAGCCAACATCTAGAAACAAAAGGGATGAAGTCTTTATTATGAAACCAAATGAAATATTCAAAATAGTGAATGGTAACATTGAACATAGAAAGATTTTTTCGAACTGTTGCTTTTAAAGGGAGTATGATTATTTATTGTTTGATAATATTCCTCATTTATGTTAGTTTAATATTATCCCACTAAACAACTTGCGACTTTTTTGAGGGAAAAAAATAAACAGCTGGGCAAAATGCCGCCATTGTTTATGTTGCAGAATGAAGGATTTAAATTTCCATTATTGTAATCTTATTACGTTGTGCTTTTTCTGGGAAAAAGCATCTATCAAGTTGTCATATAATTTTCTTAAGAGCTTTTGTAATATTTCTCGTACCTAGATCCGAAAGACTGCACGCATCTCGTTAAAGTAACTGGGCATGTCAAACACGGCCTTGTTAAGAATTGCGTCAACAATTGGGTCAAATGGAAGAGGCTGAATTTGAATAAGGTATAATCATAACAATGTTGGCCCCAGCCTGATTCGAGAAGCCCAACTAGTTTTGTCGAGTCCACGGAATCAGCTACATAAAAATTATTAACTAAATCTGTAGAGACGATTTTTGTGAAATTTAGTCAATTTTATTACTTTTCTTTTTCATTTTTTTTGGTTAAGAAGTTTCATTAAATATCACTGGTATTCTGGCGCACGCAACACTTGCTTGATAAAGAACAAAAGAGAGGTCAACAGCAATAGAGGAGAAATTTAGAAAGGGTATATGATTTTGAAAACTTAGAGGTGGTTATAGTCATTTTAGTACTGAAAAAGTAATCTCCAATAAAAGGCAGACAAGTGTCCCACATTATACGTAATCGAGCCAACACTTTAAAATAACCCAAGACCCAGCTCGGACGACTCGACACATCGACATCTCGCGAGAACTGATTCAAGTGGTGTTACATGTCGACCCTTGGCTGGGTCGACTCCCTGATCGACCTACCCGACTGTCTATTCGGCCGATATCTTGCAAAGGCGACTCAAAGGGCAGTACTTCTAGACTACTGGACTATTAGAAAGGTGACGAAATGCCTCGAGCCTCGAGCCCCCTCCCGTGCACTCGCAACCAATCACCTCACAATAAATGTCATTAAATGTATTATGAGCGCCATTACTCCTCTGTCCCCAATAGTTTTTATGACACATCGGACCATGTTGACACCGCACACCCCCAATCACTTCGTATTAAATACCGAAGTGACATTTCCTTCACTCGTCGGCCGATACCTGTAAATTAGAGGCTGACGTGGTCGCCTTCCCATACTCAGTCGAAGTTATCATTCTACCATTCTACCACCACTATAAATAGGGATACTATTTTCAATAATAGGGTAAGATCTTTACCTCTACTCACTGTGCTTAAGAACTATTGCGGTTTATTTTACCTCTTCACTCAAGCAAATTACTAACTTGATCTTCGGAATAACAACCGGGGAACCTAACACCGTCCTCTTACGATTTGCTACTTGTGCAAGGAAGAACAACCTACTCCAGAATAGGACAATCGGAGGGTTAGAAGATCTCTGTCAACTTAATCACTTCTTTTCATTGACTGTTTGATATCAGCCATCAACAGGGGTAGTTATGAAATAGTGGATGGTTTGTTAGTTATTAAATAGTAAGGATAATTAAGACTTAGAATGTTTTTTAATGCCAAACAGCTTGTCCCTCTAATACTTTGTAATTTATTGGAAGTTATGTGTATAATTTTTGGGATATTGTTATGGTAGGTCACCATACAAAGTTAGATGTCGGAAGAATGTCTGCGTAGATCCGAGAGACCTATGGTCCAAACCAACTTAGAAACTCAAAGGCCCAGCCAATGTGATGTAGAACACTTAGCAGACACGTTTATGTCAAAGTGGGACAGTCGTAAGCCCAAATGCGGGCATGGTCGAAGAAAATAACTTGTTTCGAAGAAACGGCCGTAACTTTCAAACCGTACGTCGGAATTGGACAAATTATATATAAAAATCGACTATCTCGACGAGATGGAGCCATCCAAACCCACCCCTTTGAGTTCGGTTTGCGTTCTCAGTTTCGCCAAATTCCTTACGGTTTGAGAGATATTTGCAGTTTTGTCCGTTTTTTACTATTTTTAGTAATATTTTAGGAGTCTGTTTTGTTTAAGAAACAAATCCGATTTGATCTCAGATTTGACCGGAGGACTTTCCTAATCATAAGGAGTCTTTTTAGGAATTTGACCGGAGGACTTTCCTAATCATAAGGAGTCTTTTTAGGAGTTTTAATGTTTTAGGAATTCTTTACCATTTTTGGGTCTTTTTAGGAGTTTTAATGTTTTAGGAATTCTTTACCATTTTTGGTAAGTTGAGAGTCCTTGTAGGAAATAGAGTCCTTGTAGGAGTCTTGTTTTTTTTTCTATTTAAGAAGAGTCTTGTAAGCCCTAGAGGCATATGTCCTTGTAGGAGTCTTGTTCTTTTTCTATTTAAGAAGAGTCTTGTAAGCCCTAGAGGCATATGTCCTTGTAGGAGTCTTGTTTTTTTTTCTATTTAAGAAGAGTCTTGTAAGCCCTAGAGGCATATCTTTTGATTAATAAAATTTCATTTTTCCTCAATATTTCTTCGTGGATTCGAAGCTCTTCGTAGATTCGAAGATCGTTCTTTGTGGATTCATAGAACACCCTTGGTGGATTCCGAGGTTACAACTTCCGCGCTGCGTCACAAGGTCAAGTCTCTCGGCCAGGCGAGCAAACAAGCCATCTTTCGATCAAGGGTCATCCTGACCGACTTGAAACGCGGGATCAGTCGCCCCCTCGTAATTAAGACGACTCCTCAAGCAGACGACTCGACCATACACTCTACCCAAAGCTGACCCGACTATCGGATCAGTAAATCATAATGATGACTCGCGGATCAAATCCGCCTCAACTAAAGGGACAAGATCCGACCGAGCTCACTTCAGATGTCAATCAACACAATAATATTGATTAGTCCCATCAAGATCTCTATTCTAACAAGCCTCGTGCCCAAGCTGCTTATTCTGCTTACAAGTCACTTCTCAGAGATTGCCATGATGCTCTCTTGTGCACGAGCGACCTCTCCTCCAATTGCCAGCCGCCATCTGGAGAGAGAAAGATAGCTAAGCAGCCGACCTATCCTATGTCCTGCCTCTTCTGACAAATCCAGGGTACTGAGAAGACATTTCTCTCCTGTACCCGAATGACTTCCCTTCCAATCGTCAGTCGACCTGGAAGGAGAAGGATGACTCAGCAGTTTATCTGCCCATCCTGCAACCGCCCTCCTGTGCAAGAGAAAAACCAAAATCTCAGAGGCAATAAAAAAGGAGGTAAGGAGGGTAAGGGCAGGGAGAGGCTGATCTGTGCTTCTTCTTACACCTGGGCTTTACTCCCATTTGAGTCTTTTTTTACAAAAAGAGAAAATTTTATAACTCTTAAGGAGGAACCTCCTGCAAGGGCCTCAATGGCCCAGGGGCCTCCCAAAAAATCCCCCTCAAGCTCCACGGCTGACTTAATCGTCAGATGTATCACGAGGGAAACTAGCCCCGTACTCCTGTGATTCTTGCATGTGCAGGTTATCAGCCCACCCCGCGCGCTCAGAATCGGGCGTAAAGACGGAGGAGGAGTCGGCCCCAACATTCATCCTCTCTTTCTTCCCCATCGTCGCCAGGATCGAAACCACGTCCGACGGCGGAGGACCCCCATCGACTGTTTGTTCACGAACATCAACATATATGATTGGAATTTTCTCAAATGATGACTAGCATAGGGGTAGGACACCAAAATACTTAGAATTTAATAAGTTATTTTGAATTTTCGTTTAAAATGTTATAAAAAGACGATGTGCATGAGAGCGTAAGTGTGTCCATATTCAGCTTCTCTGGAGAGAACAATATCCTTCTTTGTGGCTCACCTCAAGGTGTAAATGTTTGGAAGTTTTTGTTTGTTGATCTAATATATTTCTCTTCCAACCAAATCGCTTTACAATTCCTACAATTAAGTTATATAATCTAGGTAAGAAGAACGCTAGAATTCTAAACCTGCGAGTATTAGGTAGGAAAAGTTCAATTACAGAGCGCATGCTATTTTAAAACGAATGAAAATGTAGAATTTTAAAGCATTCTCCCCTTCAAATAATTCAAATTTCAAGTACGGTGGTGAGAAAGTTGCCAACTCTCGATATGAGTTGTATGAAGCTCACCAATCATTAATAATATGACTCTTTAAGACATCTTTGATCCAAAGACCTTGGTAAAAACAACAACATTCTTATTCAAATAAATCTGCATTTTTTTTTTTTTTTTGCTCTGTCTCCGAAACGAGATCATACGGACTATTTGAATCTCTCCTATGCGGTGCAAATAATCAAATCTGAAACAAAAATAAAAGGGGGTCCTTAAGTGCGCATGATCAATGTTTATGTACGAGTTTAATGGGACCAATTCAAATATTTGATCAATATTACAACTAAATTAACTAGAGGCAGAATCAAAACAGGGGAGGGGAAATTTAAAAAAAAAAAAACAGAATAAAACCTAAACTCAAAACGAGTCGAGGCCGAGCAGCCCAACCGCAAACCTCCTGCCCACTCCCCATCAACTCGCCGGGCGCCGCCAAATTAAACATGGCAGCCGCCATCGGCTCCAGTCCCCGTGGCCACCCCCAACCCGGCATCCCATCGGCCCCACCACCTCCCCTCCTCCGGCATCGGCAGCCTCTCGTACGTCGCGTTCCCGAACGTCGCCGCGATCACCATCACCGGCCCCGCCGCCACCAGTTCCCCGACGACGCTCCCCCCACCACCTGCCCGCCCCCCGAGAGTACACAGTCAGCCCGGCCGCCGCCTCTGCCGCCGGGGGCGCCGGGAGGAAGGCCCGGACAGCGACAGGATCTCGAAGCGGCGCCGTGGAGCCTGACGACGGCCCCGGCGGGCCGCCGGCTGGCGGACACGTCGCGACGACGCCGGTGCCGCTGAGGACGGAGACCCCTCGCTGGCGGCGGCGGGAGAAGGAGTCGACGGCGTCGACGATGTCGGCGCCGCTGGCGATCTCGAGGACGTGGGAGCGCGAGGCGTTGGGGACTCTCGGGTGATGAGGATCGGGGGCCGGGCTTGTTCTTGCTGCCCGTGGCCTGCCGCGTGGCTTTCGGCTGCGGGGCTGCAGTTCAGCTGTTCCGTCGCGTTGTCGTCGTCGTCGTGGGGAATTCCGTCCTGTGGGGGCTCGCCGTCGGCGCTGGCGATGGATTGCTTGGGTTTTCGGTCCACCACGGGCTCGCCATTTGATCTCTTGGTTTGACTAGTGGTGGTCGGAGGATGACGACGACGGCGACGAACGAAATAATATGATGGTTTGAATTGAAGGTACCGAATGAATATTTCTGTAGTAGGCTACGTGCGAGATGGTCGCCTGTTATCGACGTCGAAGATGAGGAGAAATGGGGGGAGTTCACATTTATCTTTTGACTTCCTTGTTGGGTGTTGTGTGATGATAATCATATATACGCCTGCTTGCTGTCGGTGCCCTGCTGCGCGCTCTCTTCTCGACGGCGGCACATAAGGGGCGAGACGATACCTGTTCAACAAGTGACTTCTCTGAATAGGTGAAAATAAGGGGCTGTTTGGTTCTTGCTGGTATGACACAACTTTGAAAGTTGTTGTCCACCTCATTATTTTCACTTTTATACTTTTCTTTGTTTGTTTTTTATTCCATTGAATCATAAATTGCTTGTTTGGTTTGCAAATATAACTTTAATTGTTTGTTTGGAAAGTGTAAAAAATGATCCCTACTCAAATGATCATATTGGTTGGAATTATTTTTTATTATTTTTTCCTGACTTCAATGTCAGATTTCTCCTAAAATCATGTCTTTTTTTATGAAATCACTTTACACTATTTTCACAACTACAAACAAACAATTGAAAGTGATGAAAGCTAACATTGGGACCCACTTTTTTACAATTTTCATCCTTTTACATGGTAAAAACATACAACCAAACAGCCCCTAAGACTGGTCGATACAATGACCCTCGTAGTTAAGAGGGTTTCTATATAATTGGTTTAATTTAATATAATGCCCGGGGTCCATAAAAATAAGAGAATGCTATCGATGAGCGGTAAACATCCTCTACAATGTAGGATGCAGAGGATCCCATGCCTCCATTCTATACTACTTTTTAAACTAATCTCCAGCGCATTAACGGTGCATTAAACGAATGCTTATTTTTAGACAGAGAGAAATGTGAGAATAAAATTATTTTTCCTCAAATTAAGCCCGCAACAATTTCAAAGTTTTTCCATGTAGGGCCTGTTTGTTTCGCAAAAACACACCGAAAGTGGGGGAAAGTGGGGGAAAAGAAGGTGATCAATTTTGATGTTTTTCTTCACTTTCAGAGGTTTGGTTCGTCAAAACTATAACCGAAAGTGGGGGAGAAAATGAGTTGTCACCATATTATATTATTGGTTGATGTGAGTAATTTTTGATGTTTTTCTTCACTTTCCTTGTTTAGGTTCTTTTCTTGTGTTTGGTTCATTCTTAAAAGTGGGGGAAAATAGATGAGATGAGATGAGTTGTCATTATATTATTGGATGATGTGACACATACTTAGAAAAATTAATTTCCTTGTTTTTTTGGGTGAATATGGATGAAAGGAAAATTTAATGAGATGTGATGAGTTGTCACCATATTATTGGATGATGTGAGTAATTTTTAAAGATGATAGAAAATGAAGAAAAGTGGGGGAAAGTGAGTTAGATGAGTTGATTGATGTGACTCATTTCTTGTGTTTTGTTTATTTTTAAAAGTATGAAATGAGATGTGATGGAATGGGTTATCATAATATTATTGGAGGAAAACGGAGAAAGTGAATAAAAGTAAGTTTTGAAAAGTGGGTGAAAGTGAAAAAGTGAAGGAAAGTGAGTTTTGAATCATGGGGAAACGAAACAAACAGCTGTCTGTACGCTAGCACGTACCACTGACATGACGTCATGCTTAAATTTTACTCGCCAAGAATTTCTACGGAGGGGGGGAGAAAAGATACTGCTCATTAGCAATGATACGGTTAGAATATGATATTATAACCGTGATTGGAAATCTGGACATCGATCGAAGCATTATCATCTGTTCGGTATAAACTATTATATATACGGTTTGAATCGCACCTACAGACAAGTACACGACCGAACCAAGACCACCAGCTAAATGAGTGCTTTAGATGTTTTAGATGGAAGGATGGTACCGACTTCCTACTATACAGATATTTAAAGCTAGCACATCTCTTTTCCCAAGAATTCCTTTGGATTTTTGTGATAAAAATAATGTGTGATTGCTGCCGGGTGTCCGAAATCTGGATCTTAATCGGGATAGTTTTGTCCCCTAAAAATATCTGATCTTAATTAATTAGCACCCTTGGTTTAAATTATACGTTTAGACGGACAAGTGACAGACAACTCTATCAATTAGTGTTAATTGTTAATTTAACTGGCTGGATTACTGGTATGTAATCCATCTTTTTTTCTGAAAAAAAAAAATATTGTTAATTGTAGGAGATTAGTTATTACGGCACGACACAGCTCTTAATTTAACCTCAAATTTGGGATCATTTACAATTTATGAGATACGAGGACCCAGGATCTCAGTTAACCTCGGTATTGATCACCATCCTACGGACAAGAGCGAGGCGTTATCTTGTAATCAGCTGTTACG